TATTTTTTTTTTTATTTTTTTATTTTTAAATATTATACTTATTATTTTTAATTAATTTTCATATTGTTAACTCTTTCCATTAATTCATACTCCTTAATTTCTAAAAAAACAAAAAAAATTATGATGAGTTTGATCTAATTATCTAAATATCATTTTTTTTTTTTTGTTTTTACCATTTCCCCAGTTTTCTTATTGAATTGTTATTTTACTTAAAATATTAAAAGATGTGATGCTAGGACATAAACATAATAACTTAGTGAAAGATGTTCTTGAAAGAGTAATTTCATTATTAAAAGAATGACTTAAACTATTTGATAATGTTTCAAGATGATTATAAAATTAAAATTTTATTTTTCGAGAAATTTAAATATTTTACGTTTAATATTAATATTATTATTGTTAACCAACTTATTATTATTTATAATTTTATAATTTTTTCTTAATTTAATTATTTGTGATTGAGATTATAAAGTACTTAGTTTTAATGAATTACAATATTTTATTTTTCGAGAAATTTAAATATTTTACGTTTAATATTAATATTATTATTGTTAACCAACTTATTATTATTTATAATTTTATGATTTTTTCTTAATGTAATTATTTGTGATTGAGATTATAAAGTACTTAGTTTTAATGAATTACAATATTTTAATTAGATTTAGATATATATAATTTTATTTATATATAATAAAATTAATAAAAAAATAATTATAAAAAATAAAAATAAAGTCAACGCGCGGGTTAACCCGTAACTCGTTAATGTCAGGTTAAAGTTAGACATTTTCAACCCGCAATCCATTCTTAACCAAACTTGTATAACTCATCGCTCGAGTTGACCCAATCCAAAACCGACCTAACCCGCCCGTTTTGCAAGTCTAAACACCATGATGATTTGCATTAGCCGAAACGGTGAATGCGGTTTCAGAAATTGGGTGTGGCAGTTGGGGCACTAAACTGGGTCCTAAAATGAAAAATTGCTGGCCCATTTTGTTGGCCTTGGGATGGAAGTTGGGCTACATGAAAAGTAGGAAATTGGGTTTTTTAGTAAGGGATTTTAGCCCACTTAGTTTGGGCTTTAGGAGACATAGAATTAGGTAGTTTTTGGGGGATTTTTTTGTACTCAACTTTCAATAGAGATGAGATTTTGCGAACCGAACGGTTCATCAGTTTGATGTTCAGTGGTTTTGTTGGTGTATTTTTTTTTCAAATTTTGACCAGATTTCATCTATTTAGACCAGGTTTGAGTTCACACCAGTTTCATATCATAAGTCAACCCATTTTTCACAAGTTATCGGTTCAGCTAGTCAGATCAACAGGTCCAATCCGAATTTTAAAACATTGGTTTCGGCTTTTGTGTGAGTCTAGGGTTGCAATGCGGGCACATTATAGACTTATAAGCTTTTTTCTGTTTTTTTATTATTTAAAAAATCAAAAAAATATTTTATAGAATATGTATTAAAAGTATAGTTCTTCTAATAAATTTGTTCAAATATTTTTAATAAAAATATTATAAAAAATAATTTTATTAGAAGTATTTAAGTTAATTTATGAAATAAACTGCATTTTTAATATACCTTACTAAAAATTGAAGATATTCAGACTAATATAATTCAAATCAATTAATTTTTATCTAAAAAAAAATTATTTCATACCATAATTAATATAAGTATTTATTAATCAGGAATGAGTGGTAAGTATATTGGGAAAACTTCCTTTGGACTAGTAACGGTTTAAAAATTGTTGGCGCTAGAACAATGAAAACATGCCAAAAATTTTTAGATCAATAGTGATTTGAATAGTGATATTAAAAAAATAGGTTGCCAAACAATAAAAGTGATAATTGTTACTTTTTTTTTTTTTGGGGGGGGGGGGGTTATTTTCAGACCGAAACTGGTCTGAAAAATCACAATGCAATTTTTTAAAATGACATTTAAATGCAAGATTTTATGTACCGAACCAAAATTGGTCTACACTTTTTCAAACCAATTTTGGTCTAGATAATGTGTAGAATCTAGACCGTTATCGGTCCGAAAAATTCTACCCAACGTACATCTAGCTGAGATGACATTGGGTAGCTTTTGTAGTTTTCCAAACTTTTGCCGATCCAAAAAAAGAGCCTGCAGAGTAAGTAAAATTATAAAATAGATATTGATTGTGTAAATATATTTGGTCGTTTAATTGATAGCATGGTGTAAAATTTTATAATATAGAAAAATTAATAGAAGTTTTTATTTTACTTATTCTTACATAAGTGATTTATAATAAATTAATATTATAAAATATTTTGTTAGATAATTTTAATTGTTTGTACAAAATCATTTTATTATTTGATTGTAAATATTGTGTAAAATTGTATATTATAAAAAATGTATAGAAATTTGTTTTGTATTTATATTTTAAGTAATTAATTTACAATAAGTTAACAATATTAATTATAATGTTAATATTAAAAATATATTTTTATTAATATTATATTTAAAAATAATCCTGTATTATAGTTTTGAAATTGTAAAAAAAAATGGTGTAAAATTTTATGTTATAAAAAAAATTAGGTTCTTTAGTATTCAAGGCATTCCCAAATCATGTAGTTGAAAACGAGAGTAAAATGAATTGAGTATGGTTTGAGGTGTCGAGACAAAAAAAGGATTTTGGGCAATCATATTCAGATCACTATTAGTCTAAACAACTTATTCAAACCAAAAGTGGTTCAAAAAAATTGCAAAGAATTTAGAAGCTTCTCCTCTCATACGTTTTTATTCTTTTTGTTTAAGAACAACATCACCCTTCTGTGCCTTGATTTGAATCTACCAAAGCCAACTACGTCCACTTCACTGCTATAGTTCCCCCTAACCCTGACCCCCTCGATTTGTCACCTAAAATCAGTTACCAGTGGCGTAAAGCCACATCATTACAAAACTGCAAATTCGTGGGTTCAAGATGATTAACTTTAAGGTTATTTCATATCATTGCAAAACCACAAATGCATAGACTTAAGATTATTAGGGTTAAGGTTATGCTCTTTGATATTCAGGCTTTTCAAATCTTATGGTTCAAATGAGAGTAAAATGAATCGAGCACGGTTTGAGGTGTTAGGAGAAAAAAAGTATTTTGGTCAACCATATTCAGACCACTGCCAATTTGAACAAGTTATTCGGATTGTTAGTGATTAAAAAAAATTGCCTAGAATCTAGAAGCTTTTCCTCTCATATGTTTTTATTATTTTCGTTTAAGGACAACACCACCCTCCCATGCCCCGATTCCAAATCTCCCAAAACCAATTGCGTCCACTTCACTGCTATAGTCCCCCCTAACCCCAGTGCCCTTGGTTAGTCACCTAAAATCGATTAATGGTGGGGTAAGGCTATATCATTACAAAACTATAAATGCATGAGGTTGAGGTTATTAACTTTAAGGTTATGCCACACCGTTGCAAAATCACAAATGCATAGACACAAGATTATTAGGTTTAAGGTTAGGCTCTTTAGTATTCATGATTTTCAAATCTTGTGGTTCAAACAAGAGTAAAATAAATCGAGCACGATTTGAGGTGTCGAGAGAAATAAAGGATTCTAGGCAACCATATTTGGACCACTGACAATCTGGACAAGTTATTCAGACCAGCAGTGGTCCATATATATTACCACTTAAAAAAAAAAATCTTTTCAATCTTTTATATTTATTTGGAGGGTTTTTTTATTTGATAGATATACATACTACAATTGGTCCATGCATATTTACTGCATTTTCCACCAAAATTTTGGAATGAAAATTTTAAATTTTTTACAATATTTAGACCAATAGCAATCTAAAATATTAAACCGTTAAATTTTCCCCTGCATTTGAATTTCACATTTGGCACTGCAGACTACAATCTATAATAAGTTCTTCTACATATTTTAGTATCTGCTCCCTCTTCCTCAAAATTTTCTTTTCTGCCTTTTTTGTGCTATCTTTCTCCTCCTCCTCATCTGCTTTCTAGTTCCCTTTTCTTCTTTCTCTCATACTCCTGTTTTCTCTTCTTCCCTTCATCTTTGTGTTGCCTCTTTCTTCCCATCCCTTTGCTCCCTTCTTCCTCTTCCCTTTTTCCCTTCTTTCTATCATTTTTCTCTACTCCTCTTTCTTCTAGTTTCGTTCCCTTCTCTTCCCTCTTATTTCTTCAATTTTTCTTTATACTTCTTGACTACATTTTCTATATCTATTTTTAAAATTTTAAATTTTGTTTTTATGTTATTAATTTATGATAATAGTTGGATTTAATTTAATTTTTTCTTGTTTTACTAACCTTTTTTTTTTTTTGTAGGTTATTATGAAAAATTGGATGAATCCTAATCTTTGCTTTTATATATATATATACACTTGCTTTCTTTTAATGCTTTTTCTATTTCCATTTTATTTTACTAATTCCATTTCTTATATTTTGGTAGAAAACGATCAAATTTACAAGGTAAAATGGGTGTGAGTATTACTTTTTCTGCTATTTGTAGTATATATTATAGATTTTTATTAACTTTTTATTGTAATTGTATTTAAGAATTTAAGTATATTTTGGTTTTATTTTTTATTTATAATTTCAATTGAAGTTTTATTTTTAACTTAGTATATGTTGTATATTCTAATTTTAATTTAAGAAATATTTTACATGTAAATATTATGTAATATGTAATATATTACTTTTAGTTTTTATAATTTGTAACTATTTGTATGAAAAAAAATATATATTTTTTGGGAATTTTTTAGACATATAATATATTAAGAAAGTAAAGAAATTTATTTTTCATTTGATTTTTTGTGCTAAATTATTATATTTTATACCACAATTGGT